TATATATATATATATATATTCAAAGAATCAGGACGTTTTAGTTGATCGTCCAGGGACGCCTGCTTTAGTTCCCTAGAATCGGCTTTTCTATTTACACCTGTAGTACGCGAGAGGAATGATGCAATGGCGAAATTGGTGCGTTCCTACTTGCCACTTGGATTCACAGAGCATCAGGTTTAGACACTTGTGCACTTCAAATTGGTTTTCCTGGGTGTGCTCTTCGCATTGAAGTTGACGGTTGGTTCCCTGATACCGATTTTGATGTCATGCCCACTTCTGACTATTCCGCTCTCTTCACGCTACTTAAGTATACATGACTGCCGCTATACAGCGGGATGCTCTGCGCGCGGAGACATAGATACATGCTCTACCTCAGTTATGGTTCGGTCATATCACTGCTCGTTCGGGCAGGCGTGCTGTTCATCATCACGCGCATACGCAACTGAAGTGGAACCCTTCGGTATATTAGTGTAGAGTCTTCCTTACGGTTCAACGCTGATAGCACTGCATCATATTCCTTTTTGCGCTTTATGCGTGGCATTTTTATGACCGACACGCGGTGACAAACACCCGAGTTTCCACTGCTTTGGGCTTCGCCTTACCCTCAGCTCCGTTGGCACAGGAGCCGTGAGCCGAAAGCAACAACAGTTCGAGCTCCGTTTATTCCAAGTAGACGTGGCGAACAGCTAGTGGAAGTGCGTTGCGAGACTCTCAATGGTGGCGTGGGGGAGCATGGAAGTCATGTTGGTGCGTTCGTGTAGCCCTCCCTGGTGCAGGCGGGGATGGTACGTTGGGCTCTGAGGAGGGCTTGCCCGGACCACGTCGGATCTGCAGTCCGACAGGGACGGCGGATTGCGTTGGCAAGGGTATTGGTCTGCCTTGGGAAGTACGTTAGTTCGCACTAGTCGGCATTGAGCGCTACTGCATTTGCCTACGAACTGTAAGGCGGCGGCTCTGAGTGACTATACGCTGATCTATGGCGGATTAGATGATTCCTTTGAAGATACTCCAAGGAGCGGGCCCTGGACTTTACGCTCTGTAGATCTTTGTCTTCCTCATTTGTCTTGCCTTAGCATGTTGTCATTGTAATGCCTTCACAGGGTATGCATTATCGACGGGGAAACAGTCTAGCAGGCTACATATGCAAGTGCTCTGAATTGGAGCAACCACTTTATTCCTGTGTTTCGTTCGGGAAGCAGTTGTGGATCAATTTGCATTGTGCAATACTTGGCTTTTGGTATGCATGCATCTATCTAATATTTAGGGATAGAGCACTGCTTGCACTGATATGCGTAGGGAAGGAAAGGAACTTGTTCGTTAACAGACCGAAGGCGCACTCGCGGCGTTAGTCTCTTAGGATCAATGTGACAGGTCGTTCCCTGCACCGCATTTGGTAATCTATTTTCTTTTTTCATGTGGACATAGACACGGCACCAGCGTCGATTTGCCTGCTGAACTGCAAGCAACTGTTGGGATGGCGTTGATGCCACTGAAGTGACTCTGGTTCCTAAAGTGATAACAGCGCAGTGCTCACGCAGCGCTCATATAGGTTGTCTCCACTATGGTAAACGTCCACGTCATACAACGCGGAGGGCTGAAAAGGGAAGCTTTCCTGTAGCAGCTACGCGAAGCTGCGCTCAGAGGAAGGAGGCAGTTTTGTTAGGGTCCCCCAGCAGTACGATTGGGACTGCTTCGGGTCCCCGGCCAAACTGCCTCCGGACTCTGAAACCAGCCTCGCGTAGTACATATGGATTTACGTAGTGAGAACAATACCACACTGTTTTAGAAGGGCGGTTTGCATATCTCGAAGCGAAAACGCCTTCGTGCAAACGATGCATTCTGGCTAAATAGTTGTGCCGAAAAGCGCGGGAGGAACATGCTCCGGTTTCAAAACTCCTAGTGGTGGCGCCGATCCACCACTAGGAGCTTTGACAGCATTACATACACCTACACCTACACGCACACGCATGACCACATTCGTCTCACGAGCGGCACAATTCACGATGCATCTGTGACGTTAGCTAGGGCGTCAACTGCCGCAGCGAACAGGGCTCCTTAATGTTAACGTGCATCTGTGTTGGGTTTGGAGAGCCGCAGCAGGCTCGCCGCAGGTTTTAGACGTGTGGTTGGGCAAATACGAGCGTAAAGAAGCGCGTCACGTGTGTCACTATAGGCCGCGAGTGGCACCGTCCTTGTGCAGCACCGGTTGCGTCACGAGCAGGATGTGGGTCGTGCACTTGAGGCGACGTGGGACGTCGCGGAGTACCTCGTGGGGTGGCTACCAGTATTGGTTGAGTACTTGGCGTATGTGTATTTGCGTGTATGGCTTGATGTTTGCGCGTGCCGAGTTTGGCAACGGGAGCAGCAAGCCAGGCTTCGGGTGCATGGCGCTAGAATTTTGGCATGTGTTGTCATACGACAACACATGGAGAAGCCGCGGCAGCGCCATTACCGTTGGGCTGCAACGGCAATGGGGCTGCCGCGGCTTCTCCGGCAGCACGATTGCGCTCGCGGTTCCGGAGCGATGTCGCGGGTCTAGGGCTGCGTTTTGTGTTGCCATGCCTATCGGCGTTGCTTCGTTTCCGTGCTAGTGTGCCTTTTTGCCAAACTGGTTAAGCGTCAGCACGTACCGCGTTGGGCGACAGAGGTCGTAGTCTCGGCTATGATTGCGTAGTTTTCGTGCTGCGTGGAGTTGCAGGACGGCCATGCTGCGCGTGTCGTGGAGGGGTGTGCAGGGCACGAGGTGTTGGAGCGAGCCGTTGCGGCAGCGGAGCGTAGCCTTTCGCTATGCCGGTAGGGGTAGACTGCCACTGGTGCTTCTGCGGTGCGCTGTTGGTTGCATCCAGTAGGGAGGCGGTGTAGGCAGGTGGTTGGGTGGGTGTTCGTAGGCAGCTTGGATAGAGCTGGCAAGTCCTGGCGTATCGGTGCTGTTTGCTCTGAATCCCTCGCCGTAGCACGCCGGACTGCTGAAGGTGGGGTTGCATGCATGCTGGGTATGCAGCGTTGCATCCGCTCTGCTAGAGGCTGTCAACCGGTTGTCAGACACACAAGGATGGCAGCAAAGCAGGCGCTCTGCATTCGGTGTCATAGGATGTGCGTTGCAACGGTATTGGTGCTGCCGCGGCTTCTCCGGCTGTACGATTATGCTCGCGGTTCCGGAGCGATGTCGCGGGTCTAGGGCTGCGTTTTGTGTTGCCATGCCTATCGGCGTTGCT